CTCCCCAAGAGAGGGCCCAGAGGGGGACCGCCAACCGATATTTCGAGGTCTCTGGCCCTAGAGGCCGCCTGGAGGCCCCCTGAGGCCACCAAGAGGCTCCCACGATGCCCCGTGAGGCGCCCAAGAGGCCCCCAGGAAGCCCCAAGAGACCCTCAAGGGGCTCCCAGGGAACGCCCAAGAGGCCCCCCAACACACCCTAAGAAATCATGTCCCCAGTTCAGGGAACATGGTTCATCATGGGCCCGAGAGTTCCCAGAGACCCCCAAGGGGCCCCCAGGGAACTCCCAAGAGACCCCCCAACACACCCCAACAAACCATGTCCCCAGAAAGCCTTCCGGGGACATGGTTCATCATGGGCCCGCGAGTCTCGGGAGGCTTCGAAGTACCATCATGCTACAGGAGAGCTGTCTGGGAAGTTGATTGGGAACATGACTGATCGCCCTCTCGCGGCCCTCCGCAGATCGTTTCGCACAAAGTTGCCCCAAATGCCCTACTGAACCGACGACGACGACGACGACGACGACGACGGCGACGACGACGAGACGACGACGACGACGACGACGACGACGACGACGACGACGACGACGACGGCACGCCCCAACAGGCTCCCCAAGACGCCCCCAAACCCATGCTCCCAGAAGGCCTTCTGGGAACCCGATTCACACGGCCTCCACCCCCCTACACAACCATTACCTCGAAGGCCTTTCGGAATGAAGGTTGGCATGCGTGGACTGTGGTCCACTACTTCAGTGAAGCAATGAATTCGTCAAGGCCTGGGGCCTGCTAGAACCTGAGCGCGCGCGCGAATCGCGCGCGATGATTCTAGAATATGTATATATATATATGTATATATATGTACACACACATGTATATATATATATATATATATATATCAGATTGAGGGGGCCGAACGGTCATTCGTTGTCCCTGGGCAGGTGGCTTGAGCGCGGACCCGTGGTGAGGATTGTGTTTGTTGCGTTGTTGCTGCTGCTGTTAAAGTCTCACTTCTGAAGAAAAAGTATTGTTGATCCCCCGCACTGGTGCATATTGTTTTTGTCCATCAAAGTGTGCTCCTCGTCGCTCGCACCCTGTTGTTTTGACAAGGAAAGTCTTGATGCTCAAACTGCGCCCCTCGTCCCCCGGATTGCAACAACAACGGTTCCCGCCTGACATTTCCTCCAAATTTACTCAGGACACCCGCTCCCGCTTGAGAATTCCTCAATTTACTCAGGATCGGTGTTCCTGCTTGTGACTCCCTCGCAAGTGAGTCAGGACCCCCACTCCCATCTGAGACTTCCTCACACTTTCCTCAGTAACGGCGCTCCCGCGCCAGACCTCCTCGCAATTGAGCCAAGGCTTCTTCGCAATTTAATCCAGACCCCCGCTCCCGCCAGAGAGCATTTAACATTTGATTCAGGAATTGCGCTCTCGCCTGCGACCCCCATGCCATTTATTCCGAAATCGTGCTTTCGACGCTCAGGAAACACGCTGCGCCAAGGACGCCGTCACAATTTGCTTAGGAATCGCGCTTTCGCCATGCTCAGGCATCCCGCTTGAATGTCCCACCCGCCCGACCCGCCCGTCAGGGGATCGCCCGCCCGTCGTGGGCTCCCGCTTGAGACGTCCTTCAGGAACGGCGTTGTCGCCGAGGACTTCCTCGAACGTTCACGTTCTTACCTTCCTGCTCCTCCTCCCTCCCCCCTTCCCTCCTCTCCTCCCTTCTCTCTCCTACCTCTCTTCCTTCATCCTTATGCCTCTCTGCCATATCCCCTCTCCCTCCTTTCCCTCCTCCTTTTTCCCTCCCCTCTCCTGCCTCCTCCCTCCCTCTTTCGTTATTTATTGTGTTCTCTCTCTCTTTTTCTCTCTTTCTCTCGTTCTCTCTCTCTCTCTCTCTTTCTCTATTTCTCTCCTTCTGCCTCTAATCAACCGCCCCCCTCTTCGCCCCTTCTCTCCTGGCGTTTTCCCTCTTCCTTCGTCCCTCCCCCTCCCTTCGTCCCGCTCTCCCTCCTTCTCCCCCTCTTTTTGCAGGGCCCACACAAATTCAAATAGCCCGTTCAGGTTTGCCCGCCTGTCTCAGCCCGCCGCCCCCCGCAAAGAGAAAGAATCCCCCAAAAGGGGTGTGATCGAAGACAGGCAGGGCGGATATCGTGGGGGGGGGACTCGTTTTGAATGACACACGGGCAAATAAAATCGAACAGTCTTATCATGATAGTTGGTGTTGTCGTTATTGTTCCCTACCTAGGCTCTGCCTAGAAGGGTTCGTACCGTGTTGGCTTAAAGGGCCGGGCAGTGTTCCACGCCCCGGGCGGTTCCCCCAGGATCCGCCCCGCGGTTCCCCCAGTCCCCTGGGAGCTTTAGCTTCAGCTTTAGCTGTAGCTGTAGCTTTAGCTTAGCTTTAGCTGTAGCTTTAGCTTAGTTTTAGCTTAGCTGCAGCTTAGCTGCAGCTTAGCTGCAGCTTAGCTTTAGCTTAGCTGTAGCTTAGCCTAGCTTTGGCTTAGCTTTAGCTTAGATGTAGCTTAGCTTTAGGTTAGCTTTAGCTTAGCTGTAGCTTAGCTGTAGCTTTGTTTTAGCTTAGATGTAGCTTAGCGTTAGCTTAGCTTCCGCTTAGCTGTAGCTTAATTTTAGCTTAGCTGTAGCTTTAGCTTAGCGTCAGCTTAGCTTTAGCTCAGCTTCAGCTTAGCTTCAGCTTAGCTTTAGATTAGCTTTAGCGCAGTTTTAGCTTAGCTTCAGCTTAGCGTTAGCTTAGCTTCAGCTTAGCTGTAGCCTAACTTTAGTTTAGCTTTAGCTTAGCTTTATATTATCGTTAGCTTAGTTTCAGCTTAGCTTGAGCTCAGCTTTAGCTTAGCGTTAGCTTGGGTTTAGTTTTAGCTTAGCTTCAGCGTAGCTTTAGCTTAGTTTTAGCCTAGCTTTAGCTTAGCTTCAGCTTGGCTTTAGCTTAGCTTTTTACTATTACTACGAATGCTGCTTTCCTAGGGGCTCCAACTCCTAGGTAGGGTCGCGCTGGGATAAGTATTGCTGTTGTGGTTGGTGTTGTTGCTGTTGTTGTTGGTGTTGGTGTTGCTGTTGTTGTTGGTGGTGGTGTTGGTGTTGTTGTTGTTGGTGGTGTTGTTGTTGGTGGTGGTGTTGTTGTTTATTGTCGTCGTCCCCCCCGCGACCGGGCCCGCTACCCACCCGCGACCCACCCCGCGACCCATCCCGCGACCCATCCCGCGACCCGCTCGCGACCCACCCGCGACCCACCCGTGACCTGGCCCACGACCCACCGCCGACCCACCCGCGACCCACCTGCGACCCAACCCGCGACCCACCTACATTGGTTTAGCAGGAGAGAAAAAAGAAAACAAAAAAAAAAAACGACGTTTGCGGCGGGCTCGCTGTCTAGCTTGAAAATGTTGCGCTTGCGGCGGGTTTCTTCAAAGCCTCGCAGACTGCATACGTCCCCGCCGCCCCTTCACTCGTATCCGCAACTGCGGGGTGCTTCGTATATATGTGTGGGGCAGGAGAAAGAGAGAGGCAGAGAGATTGATTGATATATGTATTCAGAGGGATGGGAGAGGGATGGTACAGGGTGCAGGGTACAGACAGCGTAAGTCCTGCAGCATGTGGAGAGCCTGTCTAGTGTAGATCCTAGAGGGCAGAGAACACATCGTAACGACTACAAAATTGCGAGAGAGAGCGCAGAATAGATGATATATAATCAGGAAGAGAAGTCTGGGAAGCGCAAGGTTGATAGTAGAGGATGCGTGGTATATGTTCGAGGAGATTTGGGGTTTGGAGAGTGTTCGCACGGAAGAGAGAAGCGAGGATATAGGACATGCGTTATATAGTTGTATATCTATAAATATATATTTGTATATATATAGAGAGAGAGGGAGAGAGAGAGACAGTACAGCATAAGGGGGTCCTGAGCAAGCTCCATGGAGCAGGACGCAGGAGGAGCAACGGAGACGGGAGTACATAGTCGATTGAATTGGGCAGAGTTTGCACAGTAAGGGAGATCCCAGATTAGAAACCACAGGGCCTAGAGTCAATTGGAAATAGTGGAGATAAGGGGTTAGCAGACATTACGCGAACAATGCAGACTGCGCGGAAAAAAATAGTAGGCCGTGGACGGTGCAGAATAGGTATAGTTGTGCACGCATGCATCGCAAAGGTTGGAGGGTGGATAACGGTAAGCAGGGTATCTACAGCAGGGAGTGGATGTGTAATGCCAATGGTTAGAGATGAGAGTAGACAGGGCATCGAGCGAACAGCTTGCACAGGGTAAAAGTGTAGACTGCGTAAAGTCGTAGGAGCGAAAAAGTAGGGACAATCCACATGATAGAAGAGAGCCGAACCTAGACAGTGCACGGTACAGGGGGAAAGCAAGGAGCATGCAATAGAGATTTGAGAGCATAGAGCCTGTAGCAAAGAGGCGGAGGAGGAGGAGGAAGGGAGCGGAGGGTGGAGAGCAGAGAGCCCAGGGCAGAAAGCGGTCAGCATGAAACAAAAAATAGAGAGGGCGGGATTTGAGAGGGAAAGAAACAAGCCGACATAGCACGAGGGAGAGCCAACAGAGTAGATAGCATGGCGTATAGAGTGAAAGGGGAAGCTGATATCAGACAGCAGAGGTGAGAGTACACAGCAGAGAGCGCAGGCGAAAGGGGGAATTGCATGTATTGATGGATGCGCGCGCGTATGCGGCTCAGGACAGAGTCAGGGATGGGCACGGCTCTGGAGACATATATATATATATATATATATGTACACACATATATGGAGAGAGAGAGAGAGAGAGAGAGCGAGAGAGCGAGCTGCTGATGCGCGTGCTCCTACACGTTTCGTGCCCCTGGCTTTTTTCGCGGGGCCCCCCACGCTGCGGACCTTCTTCACGTGGACGCGGCTCGCTCTCGATCCGCTCACCGCCCCCCCCTCCACAGCCGTTCCGGCTCGAGGGCCAAAGCTCGGGGCGCGGGGACGCGTTGCCCCTCGGCGCGGAGGCCCCGGGGCGAACGAAGCCGATGACTTCCAAGCTCCATGTCGAGGCCCTTTTCCTCCTCTTCCCATGTTTCTCCCCTCTCTCTCTTTGTCTCTCTCTCTCTCTATCTCTCTCTCTCTCTCGGTCTCCATGTCTTTCTCTCCGCTCTCTCGCTCTGCTCTCTCTCTCTCTCTCATATCGGCTCCTCCTGTGTCCATCCTCTTAAACTCACCGTTTGTATGTCCTTCTCCTTCTCGACCTCCCCCTCCCCCTGCACTACGAGTGTCCCCCTACTCCTATACAGAGTCCTCCCTCCTCCTCGTCCTCCTCCTCCGTAGTCATTTTGGCTCAAGATGTTTGCACTGGAAGCTTTCAGCCCCCGGGCAGAACTGGACGCGGGTGCCCCCGCCATACCACCGTTTTTGTTTGGATGGTTTTCGGTACAGCTGCGCGCTGCCAAGGCCAAGTGCCATGCTGTGAGTTCCTGTCGGAGCAACCAGGTGGATCGAGCGCCACGGGCGGCTGCTGGACGGACGAGGGGTCTGACGGCATCGTGGCGAACAGCGGGACGTCGCCGCCTTCCCCACGCGTCGGCGCAAGCGGCCTCAAGGTGGGCACGCCAGCCCCGTGGAGCGCCGAGTTCAAGCAGCTGCAGGCGAAGTGCGAGTTCTTGGCGCAGCAGCTCGAGGCGAAGAACAAGGCCGCCGAGCAAGCGCCACCAACCGACCAGGCAGCAGATGCGGCAGACGCTGCCCAGTACGGCAACAGCGAGACCCACAAACGCCCGACGGCCCTGCAGTCGCAGATCCACGCGCTCGAGAACTACATCAAAAGCTTCACGGACTTCGGGGAAGATTCCGCCGTGGCCACGCTCAAGGTACAGCTGGAGGAGAAGCGCCCACTCTTGCGCCAGTTGCTCCCTCCTGCGACAGCGCACCGCGTGGTTCGGCAGAAGCTGGAGAAGACGCGGACCCAGCTGCACCGCCTCAAGGAGGAGCGCGCCAGCATTGAGGCCAACGTGGAACAGCCCAAGTCCGACATCGCAGGCAAAACGGCTGTCATCGAGGCCAAGGCGGCTGAGGTTGTGCGGCTGGCTGCTGAGGCCGCGAGTGCGGCAGCTGCCCTCCAGAAGCAACGCGGCGAAGCGGCGGCCGCCCAGGCTGCTGCTGCGCCCCCGTCGGTCCCCGAGGACTTCTTCACGCGGGCGCAGGCGGACCCCAGATTCGCCTCGGACCCCGCGCTGACGGAGTTCGTCTCCCAGGTCGCGGGCAATGAGAACTTCAGCAAGCTGCAGAAGCTCCTCCACGGCAGCACTCGGGCCACGACGCGGGAGCAGCAGCGCGACACCACGATGGGGGATGCGCAGCCTGTTCAGCCTGCCGTGCAACCTAGTTACTGGTGCCGCCCCTGTTGCTGGCGCAGCCAGTGGGCCAGGCGCGGCCTCGCACGGCGACAACCGCCCTGTTGAATTCACCGCCGAGGACACCCAGCAATTGGGAGCAGAAGCAGCGAGAGGGCGGCGAGCCCATGGCAATGTCGCAGGCCGACATGCTGGCCGCCCTCAACGAAATTCATAAGTGCAAGATCCGTCGAGATGGTCGACGGGGCGCCGATCGCCACAAGCCTCGAGTGACGGGTCTCCATGTCGCAGCTAGCTGGCCGCAGCAAGGGCGCTGATGCGCCCGCGGAAGAACAACAGGCGCGGCTGCTCGAGTCCTTCAACGCCAATAAGGGCAATCACACCCCGAAGAAAAGGCTGACCAGGACTCGCGCGCTGGCGGCGCTGGCGCAGGAGATCGGCTACCACGAGTGGGAGGCCGAGGAGCTGTCGCCGCCACGCGCCGCACTGCCGCGAGCTGCAGCACCATCGACAACTTCGGCTGGTCTGCTGGAGCGCTGCGCCCGTTCCAGAGCGCGAGCGCGGACATGCCGCGGGCGATCAAGCCGCGCCGCCCCGCCGCCCTGCAGATGGCGGCCGACGGCGCCAAGATTCAGGCGCCCACCTATTCGGTCGAGCCCAAGACGGCGCTCGGCCCGCGCCTCCCTGACGAGGATTGGGACGGCGTCATCCAACAGGCGCGGCAGGCGGTCGCCATGTCGAAAGAGGCACCTGCCGACGTCGCCCGGGGCCCCCCCACCCTCGCACGGGGCCGCTGGGCCAAGGTGGCGGCCGGGAGGATCGCGCACTTCACTGGTTTTGCGATCCGCCGCCCCCACCAGCGAGCCGGCATTCTGACGGCGCGATGGGTCGACGTCGCCCGCGAGGGCAAGGGCGCCGAGGGCCTGCGCGCCCCCGCGGAGGGCTGGAAGTGGCTGGCGGACAGCTTCAGCAGCATCATCTCCTTCGAGGAGGTGCCGACTGCTGAGCGCGCCGCAGCCGCCGCAGCCAGGCAGGCGCGCGCGATGCTGACGGGGAACCTCCACCCGTCACCGAGCGCGTTCCACTACTCGCAAAGTACCTACTCGCAAACGTCAGACAAGCACGCGCGTTCCTCTCTGCAATTTATCGTAAATCCCCCGCGGCAGATCCAGGCCGTTTGCGAGTAGCTCCTTTGCGAGTAGTGGAGCGTGTTCATCTAACCCAAACCAGATGAGGGGGTTCTAGGAGGACGCCGACGCGGGCGCTCTGGCGGCGGCGCAGGCGGCCGACAAGGACAGCGAGCCCAGATGGAAGGAATGGTGCCAGCAGGCTGCCGCTGGAGGCGCCCGCGGCCTCCGCCGCGCCGCGACCTACAGGGGCGCGCGGAAGCCCGCGGTCGCCAGGGCGTCGGATGGTCTCCCGTCGCCCCACCCGCGCGTCATCGCCGCCGAGATGGAGGACGTCCACGCGGGCTCTGGCGCGCCACGGAGCTGGCGCCTGCGGCCTGGGCCCCAGACAGGTCCTCTCTCCCGCGGGCGCTGCCGCAGCGCATTCGCGAGGTGGCGCGCTTTTCCCGTCGCCGCGGCGAGGGGCCCGCGGCCAGGCGACGCGCTGCAAGCGCTCGGCGCCGCGGGGGGGCGCGCGTGTCCACCGGCGCGCCGCCGAAGCAGCTGCGCTGGATATTGCCCCCCGCAGCGCTGGGCGGGGCGCAGGCCCATCGCCCCGCGCGCCGCCGCGCACGGGGCGTGCCAGTGAGTGCGACGCGATGATCCACAAGACCTTCAGCGGCTGATGTCCCGAGTGCACTGGGAAGCGGAAGCTAGGAGGCCCGCGACCGATGGCGCGTGGAAGCTGGCGGCCAAGGCCAAGGCGCGCGTCAATGACGAGCGCTACAGCCTGACGTTCATTGCGGACTACGCGAAGAACTGCGAGACCATCCAGCTCGTCCAGGCGAGGGAGAAGTTCGTCAGGCACGGAGCCCCCGCGCCCGTGGTCAAGTTGCTGTCTAATACCTGGCACGCGGGCAGAATACTTTGCCTACAGCGGTTTCATGAGGCTCGCCTGCGGCACGGCCGCTCCGGCTTTCCCGCTGGAGACGCCTACGCCGACATAGGCATCGAGGTTCACGCGGTCGAGGAGCACCTTCAGCTACGTCGACTTCGCGAGCTACATCGACGACGGCAGCTTCGGCGTCGAGGGCAGCTCCAAGGAGGGGGCCATCGAGCGCGGGGTGGCTGCGGGCAGGAGCTTCCAGGAAGCCGCCCGCAGGCTCGGGGCCACCACCAACGACGAGCTCGCCATCCCCGGCAGCGTCAGGGAGCACGGCGAGGAGGTCGCGCGCAGACTTCAGGTCGCCCCATGGGCGGCCAAGAGGGCGACGAGCAACCTCGGCGCCGACTTCGCAGCGGCGCGAGCTCGACGGGCCCCACACGCGCGGCGCATGCAGGAAATTCACGCTTAAAGCGATTCAAGCTGGGGCACCAGAAGATGGCTAATACTAGAGGGCGGCCCCAGTGCAACGGGAAGCGCGCCTCGGCAAGTTCATTAGCATTGGCGCGCGGCCTGGCCTGACCTGCGGCATCGAGGTCGCCCGGATGACAAACAGCGGGCTGACCGCGTTGCGCGGGGAGCACGGCGGGTGCGTCAAACCGCACCACGGCGGCATATCCACGAGCGCCAAGCTCGCGCTCGGACCCCGCGGCCAAGCAGGCGCTGGCTCCCGCGCCCCAGTGGGCGAGGATGGCGCCAAGCCAGACACGGCGCCCGCCCCCCTCGGCACCCTCCGCAGCTGGTGGACGCAGGCACTCAGCGCGGGGGAACGAGCTTCCGGAAGCCTTGATAGGGCGCATATGGAGGGGGCCCGAAAGGGGGGGGGGTCTGGCAAGGATGACCGAGGAGGCGCCGGAACACTCTGAGCCCGAATCGCCGGCGCTGCGCCAGCGCGAGCTCAGCGAACTCACCTGGCGAGGCTCGCGCGGGCCGCAGGAGGAGGACTGCGTTGCCCGCGTCGGGTTGGCTGGGCGATCGGGTCGCCGACCAGATGGAGGGGAAGCTCCAGCACGGTCGGTCCGCCCGAGCAGCTCGCCCCCGGCGCCCTCGAGGCGCAGAGTGCGGCGGCGCTCTGGTGGCGGCGCGAGCTTCGCTCGGCAGAGCGACGGCAGCGGCCACCTGCATCGAGGATGACCTTCGCCATCTCGAGGCCTTTCGGCCGCGCCAAGAGCAAGAAGTACACGGGGTGCCAGAAGCTCTCGGCCACGAGCCCGGCGCGCGGAGGTCGTTGGACGCGGGTGCGAGCCCGTCTCGGCGGATGGGGGGCCGACGGAAAGCGCGCTTGCGGCCAGGCAGACACCGCGCAGCACCGCCCGCACACCTGCGCGCGGCAGGACGTCGGCGGCGCGCGAGGAGACGAAGTTTGATGGGAGTTTCCTCGCGCGCGGCGCCCAGGACGGCGTCGATCAGCCCCTCCCCCACGGCTGCGTCCGGCACCAGGACAGCGACATCCCTCGACCAGATCCTGGCGCAGAGGCCCAAGTCACCGACCTCGACGGCGGCCCCGTGGACATCGAGGCCGAGGAGATGGTCTCTCGCGCCTGCCCCGACGCGATCGAGATCGAGCTGGCCGCCGACGGACCCTGCTCCAAACCAGCCCTCCCCGAGCTGGAGCGCGCGGGCTGGGCGGTCATCTTGCTCGACCCCGCCGGCGCGCCGCCGCCGTCGCTCCGCGGGGCGGCGCCCGCTGCCATGCCACAGAGCTTCACGATGGCGGCGTTCCTGGGCACGGCGATCTCAGCGCAGCTGGCGGATCGGTCGACGGACCTCCAGCTGGATTTCGCGTGCGCAGCGAGGGCTAGCCGCAAGTCTTTCGCAGCGCAGGCCCCGGGCAATTCAATTTGCGCACGCGCGCAAGTGTTCAGCACGAGACCGCCGGGTAAATAGTTCACTCGGACAGTGAGTCACATCAAGGCTCACCGCACTGGAGAGGCACGCGGACAGTTGGGCCCTGCTGAACGCAGAGTCACAGATGCGAACATTTCTGCAAATTCTGTGTGAAGCGCGGTGTCCTGCGCCACCCCCCTCCTCCACAAGCGTTCAGTGAGACTCTCGAGCAGGCCGAGAAAGATCGCGCGCAGTTAGTTCGCTCGGCGTCGCCGCCCCCCCCCTCTGCATGAGCAAGAGGAGAGGAGAGATGGCAGATGCCTTCAGTGTTTTGTTGTTTTGGCACAGTCCACATGTAAGGCGCGCTGGATGGTACGACTGGTGTTGCACAGGTTTCGGCCAGCAGTGTAGACGCTGCCTTTCCGTGCTCCAGGACGGCCAAGACGGGCCCCTGACGGGGCGCCGCAGGGCCCCAGATTTCTTGAAATATTTCTTGCAGGCCCCGATAGACCACCAACTAGTTGCTGCGCATCAGTCGGGAGCTCGATGCGCCGCCCCGTCCGAGGCGCTCGATCGACCCGCATTCGCGCGCGTCTTGCGCGGTGCGTGGGCCCAGCAGCGGAGGAAAGCGAAGCTGCGCTGGCAGTGCACCCACTCGACGGTGAATGGGGCCGAAGTGCTTTGAAATCTCCGAAAAGGAGTCGGGCCTCATAGATGCCTGGGTCGCCAGATTTCGGCGGCCCTCCCGATCGACCGCGTGGTTAGGACAGCTCGGGCCGCGGCGGTCGAGACCACCTGAGTTTCCAGGAGGGCCGACCCCGACGCCATGCAGCCTTACGAGGTTCGCATAGCTGCGCTCACACAGCGCGCCCGCCTCAGAGAGGCGGCCAGAGCAGGGGCAGCAGATGGCGAAAGTGGCACAGGGGCGAGCGCTTGAATAGACCCCAAGCGCCACCCGCTGCCCCTCGCACTGTGTCGTCTCGAGACTCGTTCGCTTCGGCGATGTTTTTATGATTGCGACTCGTAGGATTGGCATTACTGGTATTATTGTCAGTATTATGATTCGTACTAGTGTTAGTGGTGTTACTATCGTTCCCTTAGTATCATCATTATTGTTCTTAGTAGTATTGTTAATAGTCTTGCCATTCGTGTTATTATTGTCATTATGCTTATTATGTTTATTGTTCGTAGTATAATTGGTTTATTGTTGATTCTTATTATGATTATTCGTGTTCATCCTCCTTCTCCTCCTCCTTCTCCTCCTCCTCTTGTCCTGTACTGGACGAGGGGGGCCACCTGGGGGGCAGGTTATGGCCGAGGAGTCGATGACCTCGAAGAACTCCATGGACAATCCGCTCGCGGTGCGGAAGTCGATGAGCCGGAGCGGCGTGCTGGCGGCCCAGCGGCAGACTCCCGAGGAGCAGGTGAGCCAGCTGCTGCAGCTCGTGGCCCAAACGCACGAGCGGGTCGAGTCCGCGCTGCAGTTGGACAACCAGGAGAATCCGGTAGCAAGTCAGAGGAGCCTCGCATACCTTCGCAAGTCCGTCTGTAGAGCGCACTCGCGTCGATGAGCGTCTGTCACATGGATGAGATAGCGCTGGCTTAGCGTCGATTAGCGTCGATGTAGCGGTTGGCGGTTGTTTTGCAGCGAAGGCAGAAGGAAGACAGAACGAGGGAGAACGAAAGCAAAACGAAGACGAAAACGAAAAGCATTGTTTGATTGTTCAGGTCGAGCCCTGCCAGGAGATGGACGGTCACCTCGCCCACGCCGCTCGCCTCCATAACGGGCTGATGGTGGAGCGCAACGCGCGCGAGCTGCTCGGTTCCGAGAGCAGCGAGGCCATGCGGCAGGTCCACAGGCGCATCTCGCAGGGCCTCTCCGATGCCAGGCAGGAGCGGCACCGGGGAATGCAGGAGCCCGAAGCTCGAGGGAGAGCAGAAACGCCACGAGCGCCAACGCTCGACGGTCCGCGCGGATCTCTGCGGTCGGCGCTGGGCCCTTCCGGCGGTTCCTCCGGCGCCGCCCCTGGCACGCTCCGCGCGGCAGGCAGGGTGGCCCAGCGCCGACCCGAGAAGTCTGCAGGGACCTCCGAGAAAGGATGTTCGTGCCGCTGCTGTTCCTCAAGAAGAGCAGGCAATTGCACAAAACGTGCCTGTTTCGGAGGTTCCGTGGGTCCTCAGGAGGTGTGCTAGCCAAATGCGTGTTTTCCCTGGTTCAGCTCCGGCGACAAGACGGAGCCTGCGTCGGCCCTCATTGCACCACCTGCGTCGTACTGCAGGGCTTAAGTGGAAAAGACACGCTCTGAGGATCCTCGAGAGGTGCGCGCGGAACTCCGAAAGCTTGTGTTTGTGCAGTTGCCTGTTCTTCCAGGAGCTGGAGATGACGGGGGACAAGGGTCTTGCGGAGCTGTCGGGCATGATGGCCGAGGAGGCGTCCACACAGGACCTGGCACCGCTCGGACGTGTGCATTTTTTCTCGGCGAGAACCATCGAGGACGATCCTGGACCATCGAGCAAAAAAAAATACGCCCGAAACCAAAAAATGCACAGGGAATGGACGTCCGAGCGATGACAAGAGGAGGACTCCAACCGCTACGCGCAGGAGATCCAGGCGGAGGTCGGCAACCTGTACAAGGCCATTCACCAGGAGAAGGGGTACCGCCTTGAGAAGGGCCAGAAGCTGGGCGAGGCCGTCAAGCAGAAGCTGAGCGAGGTCGAGGACGCCATCTCGGCGGAGCGGCGCTTCCGGATAGACTCCCAGAGCACGCTCCTGGAGCTCTTTGGCCAGATGGGCGAGAAGGTGATCGTTTCCTTATTCCTGGTTTTGCCGATCGGCGCGGGCCCTCGACCCCCCCCTCTCCCCCATCGCCCCCATGGAGTAGATCCTGGCTGTTCCTGGCGCCTGCTTCGAGCAGGTGGAGCCTCCCCCCATGGGACGCACTGCTGCAAACAGTCGCACCGAGCAGAGGTCCAGAGCAGGACAACCCCCCTCCGCCCCCCTTCCGCCCACTGTCGTAACGCCGAGTAAGAAAACGCTCACAAGATGGAGCGGGAGATGGAGGCGTGCCGCCGGGAGCGCTTGGCGTCCACGAACCGGATCCTGTCGGTCATAGAGACCGTGCTCCCGAGGGTGGAGGCTGCGCGGCACTCCCAGGCCGACAACATGACGGAGCGGGTGGAGGACAGCGGCGACGCCGCGGACATTGCCCGCGCCGTGGCCAGCAACAAGTCGGCCAGGAGGGGCGACATCGCGAAGCGGAAAAGCATGCTCTTCAAGGGCCGGCTTGTCAACGTGGGCTGAGCCCGGGCGGAGGATGCTGGGTCACCGCCGCCCGCGCAGTTGCCGACCAGTCATTCTCCTCTTCGACCTCCCATTCCTCCTCCGCCTCCTCCCTCCTTCTCCTCGCTCCTCCTCCTCCGCCCTCTCCTCCTCCTTCCTCCTCCTCCTCTTCCTCCCCCTCCTCGTCCTCCTCCTCCCCCTCCTCCTCCTCCGCCCTCCGCCCTCCACCGCCCTCCTCCGCCCCTCTTCGCCTCCTCCTCCGCCTCCCCCTCCTCCAGTGCCTCCTCCTCTTGCTCCTCCTCGTTCCCCCCTCCATCCTCCTCCTCCTCCTCCTTCCTCCTCCGCCCTCCTCCTCCCTTTCCTTCCCCTCCTTCTTGTCCTCCTCCTCCTCCTCCTCCTCCTCCTCCTCCTCCTCATCGTCCTTCTCATCCTCCTCGTTCTCCTCCTCCTGCACCTCCCCTCCTCCTCCTCCTCTCCGCCGCCTTCTCCTCCTCATCATCATCATCCTCCTCCTCTTTCCCCCCCCCTCCTCCTCCTCCTCCTCCTCCTCCTCCTCCTCCTCCTCCTCCTCCTCCTCCTCCTCCTCCTCCTCCCTCCCCTGCTCCTCCTCCTCCTCCTCCTCCTCCTCCTCCTCCTCCTCGTCCTTTCTCATCCTCCTCTTCCTCCTCCTCCTCCTCCTCCTCCTCCTCTCCTCTTCCTCCTCCTCCCTCTCCTCCTCCTCCTCCTCCTCCTCCTCCTTCTCCTCCTCCTCCTCTGCTCTCTCTCCTCCCCCTGCTCCTCCTCCCGAGAAGGCGAGGCCCTTCTCCCCAGACGTTCGGTTTCAATTCATGGGAGCCCTGCGTGTCCTCGGAACGCCGTCCTTAGAGTGCGCTAACGTGCGCCAGCGTCTGGTGAACGATGATAAATCGCATCAAGTCGGAGATGTCCCTCTCGGGGGACGATTGTTCGTGCTCTCTTGATTATGTTTGATTATGGCTTGATTATTCCTGCGTGTCTTCCCAAATCTGGCTGTAGGAGGACGTGCCCGACGGAAATTCAGCATCAATGAGCAGCGGCCAGCGCCGATTCGCAAGGGGCAACAAAATGGTAGTTCTGGGAGGCACCTATGAGCTGCCGCAGAAGTTCTCCGACACGCTTTTTCCCAGTCCGCGGCCCCATGGGTCCCGGCCTTTCCCCTTGCAGTAGTTCGGCGCCCCAAATCCGTCTCTGATAGCCCTGGGGCCCAACAGCCCGCGACGTGACGACAACAGCATCAGCACACACACACACACACACACACACACACACACACGATTTTCGTGCGCTGCGCTTTTCGGCTCGCCACCTGAGCACCGCTCAAATGGGGGCCGAAGAGATCAGACCGTCGGAGCCCTGGGCCCTCTCACCCATCTCCTCCTCCTCCTCCTCCTCCTCCTCCTCCTCCTCCTCCTCCTCCTGCTCCTCCTCCTCCTCCTCCTCCTCCTCCTCCTCGCCCCTGTCCCCCGCGCGGCCCGGCCACCGGCCCGCTGGCAAGTTGCCTGGGCCTCCGGGCGCGACCTCCCCGTGGCAAGGGGGCGGCAATCGCGTCCTCGGTGACCTTCGGGGGAGAAAAGCCTCCCCTCGCTCGCTCGCGCGCGATCTGCCTACAGGCTCGGGCTGGTAGCCTGCCCTTTCCCTGGGGGTCGCAGGATCGCGCCGCATCGCCGATGCATCGGCGATGAGGCGCGATGTAGAGCCCGATTTTCTCCACGCCGACGTCGCCGACACATCGGCGATGTCGGCGATGGACCGCGAATGCATCGACGATGCATCGGCGATGCGGCACGATCCGCCGACCCCATCTGCTCGGACCCCACCTGGGAGCCCTCTGACCTCAGGAAGTGGTGGGAAGGGGCGGGAGTAGGACGGGGTCCTCGCCCTTGTCCAGCTCAAGCAGAACGTCCATGCAGGAGATGAGGCAGGGGAGGAGGGAGGGTGCACGGCAGTGTTACTGATGGTGCCCCCAGGCCCAGGACAACCATTGATCTTCTTCTCTTTGATCCTCCTCCCTCCTCGCCTTCTTGAAACAGATCACGAAACCAGTGTTCAGCTCGCCGCCCAGCGCAGCCATTGATCGCTCCGCTGGACGTCGCCACTATCAAACTGATTGCACCAGCCCCAGAAGCCAATCCACGACAACGTGGCGACGTCCTAAGACCAACAAAACATTGCTCCGACATTCAATGTGAACATCAGTCAATGCACAAAAGCTGTTCAGCGACCTCCCCGACGAGCTAAGTTTCGTCGTCGCTGGCGCCATTGAACGCGGACAAGCCACGAGACCAAAGCCCCACATTTTCCAGAGTTCAGTCCCCCGTGCCTGGGGTAGGCGGAAAGCGGGTTACGTTGACAAGGGCCCGGGTTCTGTTGCCGAGCAGGGTGTTTCGAGCAAAATTTGGCGCACTTTTGTTGAACACTGACAAAGGAATTGGCAGAATTGGTCGTCGTTGTCGTCACGGGGGAAAGGATGAGTTCGTCATTACCGTCGTCTTCGCTTTCGGTCAACCACAACACATGGCTGAACTCCTGAGTACTACCAACATGCGCGTCCCAGAAGGCGACATGCGCCGGGTAGATGTAGTGGTAACGTGCACAAGCGCGGCAAGGGGTCTACCATTGGTCTGCGACGTCAAAGTGGTGAGTCCTAATACGGTGACAGGTCGACCACGAGGAGGGACTGGTAACACAGGTGGGGCATTTTTGGAGCGAGCAGAACATGAGAACAGCACCACCTACGCGGAGGTCATCACGAGTGGGTTGGATAGTCTCCAATGTTTAAGAGCTGAGGTGCACGGCAGATGGGAGGGACAAAGTGTCGCCCTAGTGCCAACCTTCGCTCACGAGCGGACTCAAGATATGCATAAACATGTCCGCCACGGGGTCGCATTATGTTTCAAGCATAGGTGATGGTGTATCCTAGGCCTTGCCCTGCAACGAACTGTAGCTAGTCGTGCTACAGGCACTCTCCTCCTCGTCCTCGCCCTCGCCCTGGGCAGGTAGGGGTTCCGTTTCGCTCAGGGGGGCCGGTTTCGCTCGATGATTTCGGTTTCGCGCTATGGTTTCGGCTTCTATGCCCTATGTTTCGGTTTCATCTGAAGAGGTTCCGGTTTCACCCGAATCGGTTCTGGTTTCCAAGAAATTGGGTTTCGGCTCCACCAATCAAGTGTTCGTTTATGTTTGTATTTCGCTTGTCTACGTGTTATGTGTGTGCCGTTTTCCGTTTCATCCCCGCACCCAATTATCTCGTCAGTTTGTCCATTATAATTTCCTTTTTCGTTGTCGTTTCTTCATTTATTCCTTGTTCACGTTCGCTTTGCTTCTTCTGGTCGATCTTGCCTTCCGACCGTCGTCGTTTTTTTCCCTGGCTTCGGGCGTTTTTTTCGGTGCCAAGCGGATTCATTAGAACTCCGTTGATTTTGAATATTGGTATGTTGCATTTTCTTTTCGGCTTTCGTTCGACGGTTTCCGTCCGGCCGCGTTGCCGCCCAACGGAATCGACCACCATCGCAAGCAACGATTTCGAACGGCAAACGGAAAAAAACACGACTGGCAAGGTCGGGAGTTTTTGACAGCGCGTCGCGCCGCCGCTCCGAAATTCCACGTTTTTGGGCGTTTCCTTTCGGCTTCCCAGCCTTGAGATGCATTCCACCAGCTGCGCTTCGCCGAGAATATTTAGGGGGCGGCTGGATCGTCCCGAACCGCCGCCAGAGAGCCGAGTTATGGCCCTAAATTCAAACGGGGCAGGAACAGCGCGTCGCGGCGCCTGTTTTGGCAATTCAAAACCAGATGCGTTTGTTTGAATTCGACCGCCACGGAACAATGCCCCAACAGCGCAGGCGCGAGAGGGCAGGGGAAGGAAGAGCAAGAGGTGACGAAAGGATAATCAGAGGATTTTGGAGAAAGACGAAACAAACCTAGCATTTTCGGGGTGAACGGCAAAGGGTGAGATCTGAAATGCCGCTCCGCCCAAAACATCGCCACCCGTCAACTTCCCTCCTTCTCTCCCCCGTCCTTTCCTTTTCGCCTCCTGCACCCCCGCTTCCGCCTCCATCCCCATCAGTGCCTCCGCCTGCACCTCCTCCTCCAGGGCTGATAGTTTCCCTCCTCTGGCTCCCTCTCCCCACCGTCCCCCTCCACCCCCACATCATCATCATCATCATCATCATCATCATCATCATCATCATCATCATCATCATCATCATCATCATCATCATCATCATCATCATCCTCATCCTCATCCTCATCCTCATCCTCATCATCATCATCATCATCATCATTATCATCACCATCATCATCATCAGCATCATCATCATCAGCAGCATCAGCATCATCAGCAGCAGCATCATCATCCGCCCGCCCGCGCTAATCGCTAATGGCAGCGGGTGGGTGACGCATCACTTTTCTGGGATCCACTTGCACTCCGGTCCTTGATTGCGCCCACGCCGTCGCCAGCACGTCAATTAGAGTCGCCCCCTCTCAATCTAGGCCCCTGTCCCCCATGTCGCCGAGCTGGAGCACGGTGGTTCCGCAAACGTGAGCACATGTCCCCCCAGAGCTTGCTCGGGGCTGCACTCGGAGCCACCCCCGCCGCCCCGCGATGGGCCCCCGAATCCCGACCCCCGCCGTTTTTCCCACGCGTTTCCTGCCAAGCGGCCAGAGGTGGTTCTAGAAAAGCAAAACGAGTTCTAGAACGCAAAACGAGAGGTAGAACCGCAACGCGAATTCTAGAACAGCAAAAGGAGTTCTAGAACGCAAAACCCAATTCTAGAATTTCACACAGTAGAACGCGCAAACTGAACAAGTTCTAAAACGGAGAAAACAGTTCTAGAACGACGAAGTGAATTCCAGAACACAAATAACCATTCTAGAATTCTGGATTGACTTGTCGGGCGCCAGTCGCGTGCGCGTTCACCCGTCGGGTGCCAGTCGCGTGCTCGTACACCTGCCGCGCGCCAGTCGCGCGCCCGTTTACCTGTCTGGCGCCAGTCGCGTGCTCGGGGGCC